GTTCTGCTGATTTTATTTTTAACTTTTTTCAAAATTTAGAATCAAAATAATTTGAATTGGTTTATTACGATAAACACAAGTGAGTTTCTGTTGCATATTTTAGTTATATGTTTATAGATGAGAAGCTACATCGAGAACCCTTTAATTCAACCTGTTTATCCCATTTTCACCTCAATGACCACACAATGCAAAGAAATGTAAAACCTCTGGTGACTTTTTATTGTGATAAATTTAGAATCATTTATCAGCGATAACGATGAAGCTGCAAAGTGTTATGTCGTCTCCATGCAGCACGGCGTGATCCACCAATTGTGTGATGGAACTTGTGGCCTTTGCCAAGGCCACGGCTCTTCCTGCCAGCAGAGGTCAGCCCACGCATCTCTCTGTGCTTGTGAACTGGTTTGGTGATCCATTGGGTATCTGGATTGCGCCTGATAGCTTTGTGGAATGGATCAATCAGAATGACCTCAAAGAATTTGTAGGTGGAATCCTCACCCACCCAGTAAGAATTCAGCACTCTCAAAGCTCCACAGTGTCGGCCAGCACGCTCCTAAAAAATAAGTTTAAATGTAAGTATCTGTATATACATATACACACAAACAAATATATTATACAGGTGAAATCAGATTGAGAAACATGATGCAAAGAAATAAGAATATATAAATACTAAAGTACTTACAAGTAATTTAATATTTCCTTTCTTTACACATCAGTATTTCATTTTCCTCAGTGGCTATCTCTCATATTTTCTCAGCTCTGGATATTTTGATTCCACAAGTACATGCTTTGAACAGTTGCTTTACTAAGTTGCTTTAGACATTAATTATTTCCACTAGTAAACTGTTATTCCAATTAATGCTGCTCAAATGTCAGCCTCCTGCAAACACTCTTTTGATTGATGTGGTTTTCTGTTAATTCAGGACATACTGGTTTTCCCATGAGCCAAAACTCTTTACCAGAAAGAGTATGAAAATATTCATGAATAAACCATGCATGGATATTGATCCAAACTAACAATATTTGAGTGGCAAAAGGGGAGAGTTCTCATTTGAGCTATAACATAGCATTTAAATTAACTATGCCTCCTGGAAAAAATAAGGAATACCGATAATCCTTAAAATCTTATTCAACTCACCAAGAATAATTAATTAAATCAGTTTGTAATGTTATTTCCAATTTGTTCTATAGATCCGGTTGTATTTACAGAGAAACAATGTCTCCATGTAAGTGAATATTATAAGTTATTTATCATAGCATTGTTTCTACCTAATAATAGAAACACTACACCATCATTACTACTCAGTGAGGAATATTTTCTTTAATTAAGGTTATTCATTTAATACATGTTGGACAAAATTATATTGTAATATTACCCTAATGTAATTTATAATTATGTAATCTATTATGCTATAATAAAATTTATCCAGGTTCTTCTCAAGATTTCCTTACTTCTGCTACAGATTGCAGACTCCGGGCAAATTTTAACTGGTTCACACCATGATGCACAGGCTTTCCATAAGTAGCACCCTTAGGAACTGGACGTTTACGACCACCACGACGAACTCGGATGCGATAGATGACATAACCTACAACAGAAAAAATAGCATTTTAACTGCTACCATATCAAGAGGGAGTTAAGCTATTCTCCCTAGAACTAAGAAGAAATTTCCTGAGTTAGAACAATTAATCAGTGGAATGACTTGCCTCCAGAAGTTGTGAATGCTCCAACAGTGGAAGTTTTTAAGAGACTGGACGGCCATTTGTCTGAAATAGTATAGGGCAGTGATGGCGAACTTTTCTTATGGCGTGCCAAAATTGTGTGCGCGTGCTATTGCACGCACGCCCACACCAAGGCAATTCTCCCTGCCTACTTGCGCATGAGTGCGCCGCTCCCCTCTCAGGCTCTGGAGGCTTTCCTGAAACCTGGGGAGGGTGAAAGCGGCCTCCCCTGGTCCTCCAGAGGCCAGTTGAAGCTGTTTTTTCCCCTCCCCAGGCTTCAGGAAAGCCTCCAGAGGCTGGGGAGGGTAAAACCCGGCCCCAACGTGCCAACCAGAAGTTTGGGAACGAACTTCGAAGGCTTTCCTGAAGCTTGGGAAGACCTCACAACTGGCGTGCCAGCAAATATGGCTCTGCGTGCCACTTGTAGCACGCATGCCATAGGTTCGCAATTCCTGCCTCTGTAGGGGGTTAGACTAGAAGATCTCCAAGGTCCCTTCCAACTCTGTAATTCTTCTTTCTGTTATAATTGTATTAGCATCTTAAACTTTTGTCCAAGCTATCTGGCTATTCTGTATTTTTGATCCACATATGTCTATTCTATTAATCTGAGGTGATTTACAGCCAACAACAAAAAAAAAACCCAATAGAAATTAGATTCACATAACATAGACAAAATTGTTAAAATTTGCTGCCTTATATAAGCTTTCCATCAACTTGACTTTTCAGATGTTTCCTGTACTTTATCCTCTTTGGATGAATAGTTAGGTTCCAGTTAATTTATAATAATAATCCCTATAGCGAACACTCTATCAGATCAGGTTCTTTTTCTCCATATATGTAATATGCATTCAATCAACGATACAAAGCAAAACAAAAATGTTTTTTAATTGTTCCTGTTACCTTGCTTGGCTTTATATCCCAGTCTGCGGGCTTTGTCTGGTCTGGTTGGGCGAGGAGCACGATGAAGTGCCGATAACTGACGATATTGCCAGCAACGGACACGCAAAAGGAAACGCATCACATCGGATTGCTTCTTCCTCCATAGTTCTTGGATATACTTGTAGGCACCCATTATGACTTTCCTACTAAAGAACATGCAGAATTATGTTAAATCATATTGCTACACAATATATATCTGTAATAACAGATATATACTAAAGGGGACTCTTTTAAAAGAACAATGCTCTCCAGTGTCTAAGAACAATTTTCCTAAAACTGATTAAGTAAATCCATAGAAAATATGCCATCATCCAGGTTTCTTTTTTCTGCTAATGTGCTGGTAATAAGGCACATACTGATAAAAGCCATTTTAACTTCAGTCTCCCAGATAAACATGTTTTACATGTCAAAGAAAAAGAGCAGGTCATAATTTTTGCTTCCATCAGCTTCTGAAATCAGATAGATGTCCATGATACAATTTCAAACTGTTATTGCTTACCATATACACCATACACCCCAAACATACATGAATGAATATATATGTATCATATACAGACGTATGTTTTACCAATATTAGGTAGCATTTTTTTCAAATTTTATAGGTTTTAGCTTTAGTCAAGAACAAAGGTTGCAAGCAGAATATTTTACATTATTTACTATGTAAAAATCCTTAAAACAAATCTACCAACTTGAGAATTATTATTTTTTTCTATTTCAATTCTATTTTTTATTCTTATTAACTCTCACAGATTGATAACTTTTGATTATCAATCAGGTTTGAATAGAAAATCACTGATTGAAACTGAGGCTTTGCTCAGGAGAGCCTCGTGTTTAAGGCACCAGACTAGAAAGCAGGAAAATACTAAGGTCAAATCCCACATTCATTAAAGTCGGTTGGGTGACTTGGGCCAATCACTCTCTATTAGCCCAATCCACTCCACAGGGTTGTTGTTGTGGACACAATAGGAGGGTGCGTGTGTATAAATAAATACATTAATTCAGTGTTTTTCAACCACTGTGCCGCGGCACACTAGTGTGCCGTGACATAGCGTAAGGTGTGCCGTGGGAAAATTACTTTATATATAGTCAATATAGGCACAGAGTTAAATTTTTTTAACATTTTCTAATGGTGGTGTGCCTCGTGATTTTTTTCATGAAAAAAGTGTGCCTTTGCACAAAAAAGGTTGAAAAACACTGCGATTAATTAATCTGGTCTACTTCTTTAGAGTTCCTTCCAATAGAGGTTTGCATCGAGGAAAGACGGCATGAGCTGCCATCGCTCGATTTTCACCATAATTCTGAGCTGTAAGAAAAGACCCGATGCCAAAGGAACTCAGCATTTCAACGATTCTTTTCGTTTGGATTTTCATCCATCTTTTTTCCCCCACTTGACTATCTCGCTCGGTAGCATAAGGCCCTAGACGCCATTCTGCCAACCAGACTCTTAAACCCTTCTTTTTCTTCCACAGCTGACAAAACATAATCATTCTCTCTCCCCGAGTCTCGTTCCATAAGAATCTGTACTAAATGGGTGGAAAGAGCCTCCAGACTGCAGGATGACATTGGATAAATCATCCGCAGAAGGAGCCCAAGGAACCTTACCAGAAGTCGCTCAAAGCCGGAAAGGAAAAGGCCTCTTTCCCAAAATGCTTTGCACTAGAGGAGGGCAGGAAAGACTCGGCGGTCAGGTGCTTGCTGGGAAATGTAGTTCGTGGAGAACACATGTTAAAAGTGGGTGGACTTTCGTGCTATGGGATGGAACGGATCCCTGTGACTTTGGCTAGCCGCTTTCTGCAAGTTATGTTCTTTTAAAGGCATCTAGCCATGGAAATTATCATAGAAAATATTCTCCTTAATCACATTTTGGGGTTGTTTTAATTACTAATGATAGAATGCTTTAGAGATATACTTTCATGCTGATTGTTTATTTCATAAGATCTATTAAATGGGATTAATATGGGAAGGTTATGTCTGAGTTCTTATTTTAAATTACATTCCAATTTTATTCCAGAATTCGAAGCTCATTATGTTAAAGAAATTCGAATACAGAATAATTCTTTCAAATTTAAAATCCCTTTATCTGTTGCTCTTTTAGAAAAAAAATAACTTCCAGTTTCATTAACTTTGTGCAAAGGAGCTTATTTTTTGTAAATAAAAAAAATAGTTCTAGAAGTCTTTTGCTCAATACTCCAGAAACATGGATAAATCTTATTAGGAGGTAGCTGATCTGTAATTTTAAAAATGATTGCCATTCACTTCAGTTAGCAATAGCATATATTATAATTATGAAAATACCAAATCTATGAAATGAGAAAAATAATTACCATTTTGCGTGGCCTATAGGTTTTGGATTTTTACCGGTAGTAGTCAGAAAGAAGATGGGAAAAGGCTTCAAAGTGTTTGTTTGTGGAATGTGTTCAGTGGGAAAGACAGCCATCTTGGAACAAGTTCTGTATGGTAATCACACTATTGGTAAGAAAGATGCCTATTTTTTATTGTTGCCTAACTAATGTTATAACTGCCAATTAAATAATAAATAAATTCTGCCTGATGATAATAGATGTAAAATGATCCATATATCATATTTGCATAGGTTAATTATGTCTTTTTCACAAAAGGCAAACTAAGTTCTCAAAAATAATTAGATATCTCTTGTATGCATTTTCCTGAACCAAGCTGGCTTGGAGAAAACATTGTAGGACGTTGTCACCCAGTCCTCTCCCAGAAAAATGAAATATCCTAGGAAATATTGAAAAGGCAGACTATTTCTCTGGATGTGAAAAGGAAGAAACATGTTTTAAAAGACAGAATAGCTCCCTGTAGTTTCCTGCCCATGCCCACTTTGCCAATGGGCCATTAAGAAGGCCAAGCTAATCCCTTTACATAATAAAGAGTTCTCCCCTTCAGCTCCAGGGGGATGGGATTAAGGCATGATAATATTGGCCCTTTACCCAACTCACCACATGGCATCTGAAAACTTAAACCAAACCTGGATTCAAAATGCAGCCTAGAGAGTTGCCCCTGCATGGCCCCATGGGAGTCTGACAACCAATCAGAATACAAGATCAAGATCAAAGGCCAGAGAGGGATAAAACCAGGGACTCAGCATCTCAGTCGGCCCTTCTCTTTTCTCTACCAACATTGAAGCATGTGATCACCTTTTCTGTTCTGGACTCAAGCCATGTGGTCCTGTCCACCAATAAACCACCTTTCCAAGCAGCCTCCATGTCTCCAGGGTCTTTTTCCCCACTTGGAGCCAAACCCAGAAGGACATTTCTTTCAACAATATAAATGAGTTTTATGTTATGTCTGCAAGAAATGGTTTTTCTCTTTATTTTAAACAAAAATAGGTGGAGACTGCAGCAGAACTATGGAAGATGTATATGTCGCTGTGGCTGAAACAGATCGAGGACTAAAAGAACAATTACGTCTGTATGACACCCAAGGACTCCAAGGAGAAGAGGCTTTCCCCAAACATTACTATTCTATGGCAGATGGCTTTGTTCTAGTGTATGCTGTAAATAGTCTGGAATCTTTTGAGAAAGTTAACTGGCTCAAAAAGGAGGTTGACAAGTTTAGAGAAAAGAAAGAGGTAAGAATATTTCTTTTAATTTTTCAGTCTATTTGAAGTATTATTTTTTCCACAAAACTATGAGAGCTTATTACTATTTTCTAGGCTGCTTATTAGTTATCATACAATTTTGAATGTGTCATGGATTATGGGTTGAAGGTGAAAGAAAGGGAAGTACCTCTACTTTGATAATCTCACTTTAAAGAGTTGCTTGGCCCGGATAACATAAGTGTTGTCTGAGTAGATTCCTCCTTACTCAACAGGTTTTCTTTTCTTTTCTCTTCTTTCCTGGCCCTTCTGCCTCTCAATCTCTTAAGAAGAGTCTCCCACAGAAGAAAAGGATTGGATTGGTATTACTATTGGAAATGGATATGAGATCTAGTCCTACTGCTTGTCATAAGATTTTAAACAAAATCCAGGTCATAATTTGGTATATTTCTGTATGAATCTTTAAGATGAAAGTGCTCTAAGTATTAGCTACTAGGATTCTCTATCTTGCCTCACAGAATAATTTCACACAGGGCACTGTGTACTCACTTTTAATAAATTGTAGATATTGAGCTCCTAGTGGTTAATATTATTAAATATTTTTGACAAAATACAGGCAGAGAACCTTAATCTGGGACTATCTAAAACAGTTTTTCAGGTGTAGTTATATAACATTACATGTTTCAAAAGAAATATTTGTGCAATACTTTGGGTTTGCTGATCTCATGAGCTAAATGTAGCATTACAGTAGTAAGTTATTTAAAAAGTATACAGTAGTCCTCAATTTACAACCATTTGTTTAGCAAGTGTTTAAAGTTACAGTGACATGATAAAAGTGCTTATGACAGTTTTTCACATTTATGATCATTGCAGCATCCCTATGGTCAAGTGACCAAAATTTAGATGCTTGGCAATTGGATGATATTTTTAAAGGTTGCTGTGTGTTATGATCATGTGATCATCTCACAAGCAGAGTTAATGAGAAAACCAAATTCACTTAACTATGTGACAAAACAGTTCACTTAACAACTGTGGCAAGAAAGGTCATAAAATAGGGCAAAATTTACTTAACAATTGTTTCACTTAGCAACATAACATTTAAGCTCAATTGTGATTGTAAGTAGAGAATTACCTGTATGGTTTTAATTCTGTCTTGGGAGCCTACTGTAAGAAGACAGTAGATTTTCAATGTTCTGTAATTGGGATCTGTTTCTTTCTATTTGTGTTTAAAATCAAATCTATAGTTGTGGTGGCTTGAGAGCCAGTCAGCATGTTCTCTGATTTGTAAGATTCACTTCTTATTGCTTGCTTGGTGGAGTTTTTCAAGCATCTTAAAGTTGGGCCCACTTCTAAATTCTGTTCTATAATAATAGTAGCTATCATTTTAGAATTGCTTATACAGTAATTGTTCTATTTTATTCCAGTTAGAGAAGCATAAATAGGTGTTACCTTGTTTATAGGAACAAATGGTTTTAAAAATATATGGTGTAATTGTAAATAACATTTATTTAAATAAAATGTATTTAAATATAAATAACAGTAATAAAATACAGGAAATGGAGTCAGTAAGATTTTAGTGATTACCAAATCAATTTTAGTGCATCTACTTTAAATGTAACTATTCAATTACCAGATTATAAAATTGAAAAATATATATAAACATTACAGAAGTCAGTCAAGAAGCTAAAGGATTATTTATTCAGCTCATGGATCTATTTGAATTTTGCATGGTCTACTTGGAATGATAGCAGCTGTCTAAATTGCAGAGAAGAATGCATTCCAATCTCTTTTCCCCTCCCAATAACGTGATTAGTCTACATATGGAAACTGGTACAAAATAAGATTTACATCACTGATTTTATTTCCTGTTTTGATTGTTTTATTCCTTCTTTGCAGTGGCCAATTATTGTTTTAGGTAATAAAACTGACCTTTTGGAGGAAAGACAAGTACAGAGTGAAGTTGCGCAACAGTGGGCTAGGATTCAGTCAGTGAAATTATGGGAAGTGACAGTAACCAATAGAAGGACAATGATGGAGCCCTTTGTGGTGTTAGCAAGCAAACTTTGCCAATCACAGAACAAGTCAACATTTTCTTTCTCCCGTCGGAGACTCAAAGGCAATAAGGAAGATTACTGAATGCTCTTATGCCTCCACTGAGCCAAGAATCTGCTGTGGCTTTTGCATTTCCAGAGTTCGTTCATGTCTAGAGCAACTAAAGCAGTTCTCACACCTCAGGATGAGAATGGCATCTGAAATCACTTCATAAAAACACTGAAATGATCATAGTTGTCTGTATTCAATTACCATATTTTTTGGACTATAAGATGCACTTGATTATAAGGCGCTTAAATTTACAGGAGGAAAAGAAGAAAAAAACAGCTTCACTCTCCACGATCTGTTTTCGCCAAAAACATGGCCATTTTTGGCCTGGAGAGTGCTTCTGGGAGCCTGGGAGGGCGAAAACATGATGTGCAGAGGGCTTGGTGGCCCAAAAATGGGCCTGTTTTTGCAAAAATGGGCTGTGCAGAGCACTACAGAGTGCTTCTGGGGCTGGGCAGATGAAAACACAACATGTGGAGAGTTCAGGAGGCCAAAAATGCCCATATTTGGTCTATAACATGTACCTAAATTTTCACCCACTTTTTGGGGGGGGCGGGTGTGCATCTTATACTCAGAAAAATTTGGTATTTTGCATTTTGTGGAATGCAAACTGGAGAATGTTTGAGTGCAGAAAAAAGAAAACCTTTTTCTAAAAGAGGAATTCTAGAGTTATTGGGAATATTGCCACTTCACTTAGCATTTCAGAAAAGAAATGAAAGAACAAGATGAAAAAGTTGTTTATTTTGATTATACATTGTATAGCTTTATTCATTCTGCTACGAGAAAGAACTTATGAAAAAGAGAGTCCAACAGAATTGGGTGCAATGTAAGCATTTGACCTTCACTACCTTTATTATAAAGTGTATAATATAATAGTATTAGCACTGATGCTTTTGGATGAACCAGTGTTATTTCTATTGATTATCATCAAGCAACCATTCATCTTAATTAGGGTAAAACAATGGTCTCTATTGCTAAAAATTGGGCCAAAGAAAGAAATTTTTTTTAATAATAACTTCATATATGAATGGAGAAAATTTTGACACCGTTCCCCAATTTCAAAAGCCCATTATTTTTTGTCTCAGTGCAGTGACAACAGCCTCCTGAAAAAAAAAAAATAGTAACTTGGTTAATTTGAAAGGCTATGTTTCTCAACTCAGCAACTTTAAGAAGTGTGGATTTGTAATTTCTGAAATTTCCCAGTATATGTAAATCTTAAAAGTTATTGTGATTGAAAAATGTAGGACTATGTTAGAGTATTTGATTCTGGCTTAGCGTGTTGTTTGACCTATTTATTCCATAAACTATTGTTTATGGTTTAACATTGGGTGAAATCAGCCTGTAGTAATTTATTAAATCTGTACAAGGAAAAAAAAGAGTATTATTAGGGGAAAGGATTGCTCCATCCAGTTTTAGGTTTAAGCAACCTACTCTCTTCAACTGTACTCATTGTTGCCATGCAATAAGTGCCTTATATGCTGACATAAGAGCAAATAAATACAGGATTTATATCCAGGGAAATGGAAAGATCTTACAAAAATATGAAAATAGGTACATTGAACTTTCTTAGAAAAAGAAATAGCATACCTACGTATATTTTTCCTCATAGCTATATTCTTCATGACATAAAGATGATTTGAGCAACTAATCACAAACCTAGATCAAAATTTCTTCAGAATTCCTAATATGACTAATGCTGGATATGGCTGGACGTTTTAGGAACTGTAGTCCCCAATAAATCAAGACTGTTAGATTGGAGAATTTAAAAGTCTATTCTAGGATTGTTACGGTGTCTTATACCATCACAATATAATAGAAGTTCTCACCCACTTCTAAATGGAATCTGGTTAGATTTGCATTTTCACAATTTTCATTATAATGCTGAAGGATGCAAAAATCAGTTAGAAAGTAGGTAAGTAATTGTTGGACTGAAATTTCTGAAAATGTACAGTAGAGAAATTGATCAAAGTTTTCTTTTCATCTAGGAATAAAATATTTTAAAGCCTAATGTGATATATTTTAAGGACATTTTTAAATGCACCTTCTTAGAATGTAACAAAAATAGAATCAGTGAAATATCTAGCTGTTAAAATTACAGATTGAAATACAGATTTTGACTCCATTCTATTTATATTGCACATTTAAATGACTCTATTTGTTTATATATTGCACTCATAAGCTGTCCTTCAGTGCATTTTGCAGAATGACAGTTTTTATAGCATCATAACAAGCACAATTAACATGTGAATTTTATATAACTATTTTGGGCCACTAGTGAATTGTGCTTCAATTACTATTGATTGAAAGCTAAATTGAACTATGTTCACTTCAGATATTTTGGGTGCTAATAAAAGAGAAAAGGAACTTTTTAATAGAGAATAAATAGATTAGCAGTTTAGTATAAACGAATGTCAAGAAAAAGGAAAAGCTTCCCCTTCCCCTTCCAAATATGTCAAGCAACAATGACCTGAAACCACAAATGAATTGCTCTAATGTTAAATGGCTAGGGAAACTCCAAGGAGAAGATCCAATCTTTTGATAAAAGTCATCTGCAAAAAAATTAACAGATTGTTGGAAAGATATGTAAGTTTGCCTTCTGACCCAGGATTTAATTTCATCTCTTAAATTCTTCTCATGTAAGTTTTTGTTTTATAACCTTTTTCTTGTTTTTTGTATGATTCTTTTATCAGGAATATATTGTATTGTCTTATATCAGGGGTCCCCAACCCCCAGATTGTGGAGCAGTACTGAACTAGGACATGCAAGAAATGGGAGAGTGAGCGAACTACTTCTGCACATACATGGGTTCTAGGTTACACATGTGAACCCTCCCACCCCATTCCTTGGATGACAATTTTCTTCCAAAACCAATCCCTAAAGCCAAAAAAGTTGGGGACCATTGTGTTACATGCAGCCAACATAGATGCATTCCAAACAGAAGGTATATCAGTAGGGAGTTTGTACATATTTTTATTAGCACAGTAACAAATGCAGACTTGGATAGTCCACAACATACAACCAATCCACTGAGTGACTCCTATTCCACGCCTTACAATTAAACAGCTTAAGGTATTTCACTACAGGTTGTTCCCAAGTTCAGTTAAAACCTTCATTCTCATAAAGGTAACTCGGCATAGAAAAATGAATCTCTGAACTATTCTCCCTATGCTAGGGGAGACAACAATCTAGCCTTACCCCTATATTTGAAGTTAATGAAAGGGTAGTCTTGTAAAAAGATGTGTTAAATATGAAAATCTCCCACTTTCCCTAGGGAAAAATATTTGCAATATTTTTTACAAATAAAAACTAAAAGAAAATCAAGTTGTAAGCCTTCTTGCAAGAAATTTTACAGAGATGCCAATAAATTAAGCTGTTTTTTTTAAATCTATCACAACCAAACATCTTTGCCTACCCTCATCCAATTGTCAGGTTAGTTTACATTCTTCTTGGTGCTATAGCAGAGCTACTATTGCTGAACTAGTGAGAGTCTTAAAATATGCTATTCCCATTCTAGCTGTCTACTGTAGCAAGATACCTTAAGTAACAACAACAAAATCTCAGGAAATAAAAGACTGAATAAATTCTTTTATAGAAATACCCTACTCTTTTTCAGTTTCTCCCCTTCCCTGTCCCACCCCTTCAAAATCATAAGCAGCTCGCTCTGTCACAGATGATTTAACACGCAGGTCTGACAAAAATCCAGTTTATGTCGCATATCTCTTGGTCCACTGTCTGGCCATTCTGTCGTGCTCTGCTCTGTTAGTCATATACTGAGTTGCAATACTTCCAACAAGGGGATCAGCTGCAAAATAAAACAAATTCCAGCTAATTATTGATGCTAGCGGAAGAGAAAATACATGTAATAGATCAGATATGATGAGAGCTCTTCGAACATTGCTTTAATGAAAAATACTTGTGTGGCTTTATAATTTTAGAATTATTGTACATTTTCCATTCAAGCCAAGACTGAGAAAGGGAACTTGTGCTCCTCTGGATGTTGATAAAGTGGAAAACCCAACCTTTATATTTTTAGACTTCACAGTGCTTTTTCAACCATAGCCATGCTTGCTGAAACTTGGCAATTGTTAACAACACTGCATCTCTGCACATCAAAGACCTACTATAATAATGGGTTTTGTTGGACAACTAGTGCTTCCATAGATATTGTACATTTCTATCAATCCCTTAAAATATGTCTCACAACAGCAAGCCCTCCTGGAGATGACGACGACTTTCACAAAGCAATCAAAGCCAGTAATTCTTCAGTTACTAAACACCATAAATGGGAATATTCCACTTCTTATTAATTTTGTGGAAATGATAGGTTCACTTTTCCATCAGTGGATTTTGAAAAAAATTGTAGGTTTTTAAAAGTTTTTGTAAGTTATGTCAATGCGATGTAATGTACATGATATTCTAACCAATAACAATTCTGTTTGAGGTTTTAATTAATTTAATTTGCTATTCTTTAAGACAGAACAGATAATTCTTGTTTAGGGACCACTCGAGGTTATTTAGAGTATTTAGAGTATTTATTAACACTTATAGGCCACCCTTTTCCCTGAGGGGACTCAGGGCGGCTTACATAAAATGAGGGGAAGGGATATACAAACAATAACACATACAATACATAAAGTAAAATAATAAGCAACATTCATTCATCATTCGGGTGTGGTTATGATATAGATGAATAAGAAGACTTACGATTACTCCTCATAGTAGTAGCTGCTACAGCATTCTTGTGTTCATGTGATCATGATTTAGGTTGCTTGGTAGCCAGCTTGCAATTGTGACAGTCAGAGCATCCTACAGTCACATGATTGCCATTTGCCATATTCATTGCTAGCTTCTGACAAGGAAAACCGATGAGGAAGTTGGCAGAAGGTTGCAAATGGCAATGATCACATGCTGCAATTGTGTGTGATTTACCTAACAATGGCAACTGGGACTGCAACAACTGCCATTATTAGGTTTGCATGATCATATGACACACTTTACAATTATGGAGCTGCCAGTTCAAATTACCCTGATTAAGCAAGGACTGCTTGCATAGCTTTTAGACACAGTTGATTGGATTTTCCTTGTATATTGTGTTTTGGAGATGGGCTCTTAGCAAGAAGCAGCTAGAACAGTGCAGGAAAACTTGTGGGTTAACATTAGCCTAATACTGCATAAGACTGGACAAGGAAAAGAAGGCCAGCCAGTTAATGACTTTTGCAGTGATGAAAAAGCAATCTATGGAAAGCAACTATAGTGCAGAAATGTATCTGTCAATATTTCACTACTAGTTAAAAGAAAATATTTCCATTTTATACAAAAAAATGAGTTGCTTGGTGCTAGAAAAGGTCTGTTGCCCCTCCTGATCAATACATTCTTAAATACCCAAAAGAATGTAATGCTAGAGGGGAACCACTCTTCCTGCAGAAGATATTCCTGTGTTAGTTATCAGAAATCAACATGAAAATTCCCCCTGGCTTTATTATAACCCTATGGATAAACAGGAAGTGGGGACAACCTTCAATCTCTGGATAGATCCTATTCTCTGTTCCCCATCGCTCATTTTGACCCAACTTACCAGGATTGCAGTCTGTGAGAAGTGAGCAAATTGAAAGAAGAACTTTAGAAATAGTTAATGCTGGACTCCAGTTGTCCTTTAATATGTCCAGACAGATCACTCCTTGACTATTGATGTTGCAATGATAGATTCTTGTTCGAAAGGTAACCTACGGTATATGAGAAGAGTTTTTTAAAAAATAAATAAATAAGGAAATTGTGTTTATCCTCATTTTTTCAGATAGGCCCTAAGCCATCTGAATAAAATACTGAATTTGTCTAAACTCATTTATAGACAGTTTCCAATTTTTGATAAATTACTAATCTAGCATCAGACAACTTTCTATTATTTCTCATTCTGCTAGATTTTCACGAATATTTTTTTCTCTTAATTCCAAACGACTAAACCCTACCTGCTAATTTCATCAATTGAAGCTTTTCTTAGGTTTACAATAATGTTGAAAAATCCTCAGATGTTAAATTAGTCAATATCATTAAAATTCAATTTTCCTGCATCTGATTTTCATTGAAAAGGGATTAACATTAACTTTATTTCTACATTAATTCAATAAATGTTTTTGGATTTCATATAAATGATGCAAAATCTCACTTTCTAGTGGTCAGAAGTCTTCATATATTTTACCAGGTTACCTTTTGTAGCTCCCAGGACTATTCTTCAATTTTCCTCAATTGAGACTGATTTAATTTGTACAAACTTACTTTGGATATTTCCCAGTTCATGAATCTGAATATTACAGCAAATAATGTAATTATATTTTAGGCTTTAATTTCTTAAATTTTATTTTAAAAAATTATTAATACTTCCTTTTCAACTAGCCATCATACAAGGGGAAAAAACAAATTCTGAGCATTTTAATTTATGCTGAACCACTGCCATCTTGTGTCTATTGTTTGCATTACATGGGAATTACACGGCTTTAAAGGGTGACAATTTATTGCAGTATTAAAGAATTGCTAATTTTCTTCACCATTTTAGGCAGGATACTTAGGCAACATCTGCTTTCTAAAAATAGATACTTTATTAAGGCAGAAATTAGTAATATTTTCTATAAGTACTGATTAAGAGAACACCTCTTGTTGCATTTTCGATGCACAGTGCTTTAGATTTGCTATCAATTTAACACATTTCTTTCTCTAGGGACCAATTGTCAAACCATTTTAGCCCAAATATTCTACAGGGTGCATAGGTATTGGTTCTTATGAAAAATGTTGCACTGACTTTAATGTATTCAGCACATACCCAGAGTGGCAAGGGGTGGGATTGGGAAACAAGAGCAAAGAAAGTAGGAAAAGTTATGCAGGATGAAAGATGATGTTTTTTTTTCTCATCATTAAATTGTATATGTGCCTGTTTGTGATCAGTGGACAACTATAGAAATTCAACGAACTATTTATACTCACAAACCACTGTGAAAAAATCTTAAGGATTTGAAATGCAATTAAAACATGCCACTATCAGCCTTCCTTGTAAAGAAAGAGCAGGTCAGTTATTGACTTGTTGTCACCCATTTACTTTTGATTTGTAACGCTGGGCAAGATACAACATTAAAAATCCAGTTTAAAATTCACAATGAAACCCCCTTCTCAATTCTATCGTGATAACAACAGAATCAGACAATCTATTTGATTGGCTCCAAATAGAGTCCCCAAGCACTGACAAAACTATGCTTTCTAGGCCTTGCAGAAAATAAACAAGGTTGAGGCCAATCATATCTCTGGACTAATGATGTTCCAAAATGAGGGAGGTACCACAGAGAAGGCCCTTTTTCAGGGTGCCACAAATGTACTTCCTTGATAGTTGGAACCCACAACATGCCCTGTTGCAGTTCATCAAATATCCTGCACTCAAACTTTAAAAGTGATAACCAGCACCTTGAATTGCACCCAGAAGCAAATTGGCAACCAGCGCAGCTCCTGAAAATATGACATGCAAATTTTGACTTGCAAAAAAGCATGCATCCTGCTGCATTTTGAGTTAACTATAGCTTTCAGTTGCTCTTCAAGGACAGCCCCCTGTAGAGTGCAATACAATAATCCAAATGGGAGATGAAGAGGGTATGGATGATTATGAGAAAGGCCCAATGGTCCAGGAATGGCACACAATATGCAAAGGCCCTTCTGGTCATGACTGTTACCTGCTTCTTGAGCAAGAGTTGTGAGTCCAGGAGAAACTCCGGATTATGCATCAGATCTGCCTGGGGGAGTGCAACTCCATCCACAACCAAAAATGGTAATTCTTCAAGAACCAAGAGGCTCCAAATCCAAAAGCACTCTGTCTTGTCAGGGTTCAGTTTTAATCTGTTGCTTCCCATCCAGACCTTAACAGGCTTAATGAAGTGAGAAAGGGCGATAGCAGCATCACCATGGCCAGAGATGTATAATTCAATATCATTAGCATATTGATGATATCGTATCCCATTGTGATGGATGTTCTCATCCAACAGTTTCATGTAGATGTTAAAGAGGAGTAGAGAAAGCACCAACTCTTGAGGGACTCACAATGCAAGAGTCAAGTGTTTGATCTCTCACTCTTCATCAACACTGACTGGAAGAAAAGCAGGACAATACTATGACTCTCCATTGCCAATCTAAGCTGTTCCAGCAAGACACAATTCATGATTGATGTTATCAAAAGCTGCTGAGAAATCAAGTGGAGCAAGGATGGATACACTACACAGGTTTCCATGTTGTTGAAGAACATACTATTGATGCACTTTGAATTGTACTTTTGGGATTATATGATACAAGTTTCTCTGCCGAGATAGCATTTTGGCCATTCGAAACTAGTTTGGAAGAACTATATGAACAAGACAATTTTACTCTCTATAAGTGTAGCTAAAACTCTGGCAATAAGCTGTCAGTATCTAAATACCAGCCATTGTTGAATGTGCAAAACAAATGCATTTCTTTTATTGATGATTGTTCTAAACATGATGACTGTTATACTTGGAAAGGGCCCACAGGCAAACATCTATAAAAATAGAGGGAGAACACAAATGGCAGCATTTGATTTGATAGAGTAAAAAGAGTGATACATAGCATTCTAATTCCATTCTCAAATTAATTTGCACAATTTGAAGACTAGTAGACAAACAGGATAGTATGATATTGATTCAAATATTTAAATAAAAACATAAAAGGAAGAGAGAAAAAGAGATATGGGATTCATTAAGAAAGAGGAAAATATTTTCTGTGATAACATTCTCCTTTTTGTCAGAATACAATGTACCTATGTCTATGCTACTTAATGATGAGTACAAAAATATTGTGAATGACAGGAGGAGACATTAGGCAAGAATGTTTATGATTTATTATACAACTCCTCAAACTTGCCTATCCTCCTATTAAAGCACTGTGTTAGCACAACTTGACTTTCCCTATACAGTTGAGGGTAGGGGCGTGGTGTCTGTAGTTATCTGAGTCATCTACAATATTTCCCTGAATTTCCAAGAGTTTCACGTAGTTGGTAGATTATTTTTCTCTTTATAGTATTTGATAATTTAGCTTGAAAGAAAGTTATGTTGTCAATACCAAATACTAATTTAGAATAAATATATCTAATACTTTCTTCAGTTAATAATTTTTATAGCTTTATGGTTTTTTAATGGTTAAAAATAGGTAAAGTTTAAAATAAATTCTTCAGGAACTAGGAGAATTATGAGACAAAAGTTTCTGAAATAGTAACCTACCTATATGGATCTCTTCTAAGCAACATTTTACAGCAATATGGAGTATTATCATGATTTCTAAACTCTGTATTAGAAAGCTTTAATTTGCTAGCAGAGGGCACGCATTTAAAATAATTAATTTGGAATCTTCGTAACATATCTATCCACACTTTTATGTTTATGAGGGTGACAGCTAAGATGTTCATTAGCATCTTATTCCAAGTGAATAGCCTCCTTGAATATTATGGTAAGATTAAAATATACTGAAAACAATAACTTAAGAAGTTGGAGTATTTTAAGTCTGATTTAGTAAAAACAATTATTCATTTGAATAATTGATTGTATCCAGAATAACTCCTGGGAGGTAAGCCTGGGAAAAGAAAATGGGGAGATAATAATTTGCTGGATTCTCTTCCCCTTGTTTTCCACAGCTCTGTAATAAATGGCAATGGCTAGTGAAGTAGAAAACAGAATTGGAGAAAATGTCCACTCTCCTTTTTCCAGTGCAAGAAATAGTGCACATCTTGAGGCTCCAGGCTTCAAATACTGCAAAGATACTTAAGATGACATCACTAACATTAGATGAAAAAGCAACATAATTCTAAAAGGACATTCAAAAAGCCTTTCAATAATCAATAAAGCAAAAATAGATTGAATAGAAAACAACAAATTGTGAACAGCATTTAAAAACAGATACTCACTCATCTGCCTATTGAAGAACTTGGATGATGTCGAAGAATAGAAAAGAATAGAATAAAAAATGGCACAGCTAATAGTTTAGGGTTGGGAATGTAGAGTGCCATGGTTGTATACTGTTACTGTATTTATTTAACTTATATGCAGAACACATTATGAAAAATATTGGACTATAGGAAATTTGTATTAAAATAGCTGGACAGGTATCAATAATCTCAGTTATGTGGTCATATCGATCTGACATCCAGAAATGAAGAAGACTTAAATAATTTTGTTATAGTGAAAAAAAGAGTACAAATGTCAATCCCATGCTTAATTTTAAAACAAAACAAAGCCCAACTACTAATATTAGGTTAAATATTATTTATTCCCAATAAACTGTCTTTATCTACATAACATCAGACAGTATACATAGACAAGCCAATACAAAATAAATATTTCTATATTTGTTCCTATGTTTTCAATTAGAAACAAAACCATGAAGTTGATATGCACCAAAATACTCTAATGACCAAAGCTTTGAAATAAAATCATTTTGAGGGCCTTTCTGAAAAGTAAAAGGTTAGGGCCCAATGATAACAAACATTATTATCCCAGGCTTAAAAATAATGACATTACAGGCATAATGACTGTAACTTTAAAATAAGGAGATGTACTTTGTATAATTGTATGTTTAGAAGTGGAGAGAGATGCACATTCTAACTAGCTGGGCATTCTTGTATTATTAATAACAAATTAATTAGTCTTTTTTTTTCTAATTCATGCATGTCTTATGAATAAGAAATTGAGAAAGTCTCCTTTAGGAACCCGGGAGGTGGTTCTAAAAGGGGAATTAATTCAGTAATATTATCTGATTCTCTTAAAAATTTCAGGTAAAAGGATTCTGGAAGAAACCTATTTTCTATGAAGATGGTGTCCTCAAGAATTTGATACTTGGAAGAAAACCCCTATAACATTATAGACAAAGTAACAAATTTCAGAATCATCATACTAACAGAAATGTTTTTAGTTTCAGCAAAATACTAACATCTACAAGAGCAATATCATCCATAAAAATGAATACAATAAAAAACCGTGCATATGCTACACTAATTGAACAATGGAAAGGAAGAAAAAAATAACTTATCAAAAAATTCACATGTACTAGTTAGTATGAGATTAATTGAATCCTTAAGCTTCTCATTAAAACTAAATTTATAGAAATATTACATTTTTTTAAAAAACATGGACTTAAAAAAAATTCTGCCGAAATTGGATATTCTACTTCTTTATTCTATGTAACTAATGTTAACTTTCATAATATTCTTTATCTGAGTGGTTTCACTTTACCTGCTCCATCTCTTAGAGATATTAAGATTTTGTAAAAAAATATATCAACAGTTCTTGTCTGTTTCAAATGGATCTTCATTTGACAAAACTTTTGAAATTTTAGAAATCTCTAAAACTGTATGAATTAGTATACAAAATGGCCAAAATAAAAATGATATTTCTATAAGACAGGAATAGAAGAAAAATGAAGTATTTGGTACAAATTTAGTGGGCTTTCTAGCTTAGGAAAAGAATAACTTTTATATTACCTGATATCCTTAGATATCCAAGTATCTCAAATATGTTAATGTTGTGCTCTCCCAAGAATTCTTTTTTGGTTGAACCTTATTTTGTCTGAAGTAATAGGTTTCAGTCTCCTCAATACAATCAGCAAACTCTATACAAAACATCTATAATGGAAATTCCAGAACTGACAGGAACAAGAGAACAAACTTGTAGAGAAGCAAGTTGGTTTTAGGGAAAGCCACTCTATGTTGGTCTATGACTAATAAAGATTGAATTGACCGAGTGACGTAATAACTAAATGGTGATAATCATAATCAATGACAGATGCTCCATTTTCATATCTTCTAATCTTTTCAATGTCATGGGCATCCAGTACATCATTTCCCCATACAAAAGAATCTGCTGCTTATTTAGATAAGATTTTAGCATCTCATTGTGAAGCTCCTTTTTAGGAACATATTCTTAATTATTTCATTAATAAGATTCAGAAAGTAGTTTAAGCTTTAATAAATCAGGTAACCTTTATTAAAAAAACAAGCAATCTGCTGCCCCTTTATTCTGTCTAGATTATTGGGTGGGATATTACTATTGAGTCTTAGGTGTTCTATTATGCTTTTATGTGATTTAATTTCTTTTCTTTTTTTTAATAAACTGCCTTGTAGATCTTAACAGATGAAAAACCATATATGTTTTTGAAAAGTTAAACCTATGGATGGTTGCAATCTGAAAGCCAACAAAATCCATAATTTTGACAATATTTACAAAAAACAATTTATATAAAAACCACGGATATGCCTTTATTTTAAAAAAACATATAAATTGTTTTATAAATCTATGATTTAAAGTATAGCAATGCTATAAATATACTCACAGGTATATTTATATTGATAACAACTGGCCACCCAATCTATCATATCCATTCAGAATCCAAATTCAAAATACAGATGGATTTCCTGGGTATGACAGCTATTAAGCAAAGGGACAGTCTGTCTCCTGGATGCTGTATATTTTATTGGACATTTTCAAGCAAAGATTGGACAGTCCTTTGTCTGGTATGTTATCAGGATTGCACCAGAAGATCTCCAAGATCCCTTCCAATTTATGATTCTATGATGATCTTAATGGCTATCCTTAACTACTTCGGATAGAGATTTCTGCAAGTGCAACGTATTGCACAATCATCATAATATATGCTTCAGTCATTCCTGTAGTACTTACCCATTAATTAAAAAGCTATATTTGCAAAAAGGAAAAAATATTAAATAATAAAGGGCATTAAATTATACTAAATAGTATATAAAATGTTAATGCGTACAGTTATGCATTAGAAGCTAATGAGACCATGTGGTGCATTTCTTACCTTTGGAGGCTTGAAGGGATATTCTGGTGTAAATGTAATGTCGAGGAAGAAAACGCCACCCTCGTACACTGAACCTGGAGGTCCTAAAATTGTTGATCTCCATTCATAGATATTATCACCTTTTGGGCCAGCACTGTAAATTAAACAGGACAAAAAATTGATACTAGTTAACTTTAATAAGACTTCAATATTTATGAAAAGTAACTCAATTCCTGTAAATATATTCATTATAAAATTAACACTGTAAGACTGAGACCAACAACTAGCAGTGTATATTGATTATGTCTCACAGAAAACTGCCATCTGTGGTAATGCTGAAGGGAAAAAATAGTAATACTGATCTTCCCAATGCACGTTAAAGCAAGGCAGAGAAAAAACAATTTAGGGAAAAGATTAAAATAGATTTTTTTAAAAAGTGCAGGTTAATGAGGAAATTGCAATCATCTAATTTCCCTTGTTTCCTTGCTTATATAGCTTTTGCAATAGTAAACCCCATACAAATGTTATTCCAGAAATATTTTCTTGTTTTTTATACTACTTCCCTATATGTTTCTATTACCTTTTCAGAATGTTTAGCTTTGACTTAGAAACCATTTGTTTATAACTATTTTTCACTATATGACAGATTTCAAATAACAGAAACGTGCTCTGACATCAAGAAACAAATGAATGGTTACTGTGAATTTACTACAGTGTTTGGTTCTGCATGGTACCTGTATACCTATTTCAGAAAAATGTGGTGAAGGAAGATAAAAATGAAAAGGCAGGCAGAGCAAACTCTTCAGGCAGAGTTTAAGTATTTATAACATTTATATAACTGTCAGTGTAACTCTGGACAGTGAACAAAATAAATATAACAAAATAAAAAATAATCATTCCATTAAAATAATAATAAAAAGAATAACATTTGGGGGCCATGTTCAGCATTAATCCCTTGCTCCTATATAAAGGTTTGCTAATGCATTTTCTGTTCTATTATATTCTAAACTTGATCAGTGAAAGTCAACAGAAATAGAACATGATATTTTCAAATGAATCATGAAACTGTAGATAATTACATTTATATATGAAGCTACAAGAAAAAAGATCTGGTTGACTCAAGAGGAAAAAATACATCAACATTAATTGCGGGGAGGCAGGGAGAGGAAAGAAACCTCTTCAAAATTGGAACATAGTATGGTATTTCCAAGAGGACAATTTGTCTCAGCAACTTTACTTGAAGTATGTACACATCACACTAGAAAAAGAAGCCTTGCTTGCTAGTGTATTGAAATAAGATGCAAAATTACTACTTTAGATTCTTAGGCCATAATTGGCAGTTAAAATTTTTCTCAGAATTAGGTTATAAAAGATGCAGTATGCATTTTTTCCCAGATGGGCACAGAAGGGGCACTGATCTTACCTGAGACGCCCTTTCTCATAGCGATTGATGGAAGAGTCCAGGATTGGTTACTCTTGTCTACTAGCTCTGTTGACTGAGTTGAAATTCTGAAGACATGCCTCCCTGGTAATGGTCCTCAGTCGAACAATGAAGACGAAGCAAATCCTGTACTCTGGCTCCAGTCCATACTTCTTCTTTCCCAGTACTGGATCAGACAGTCAACCTGGTGGATCTGGACTCTCCCGTTGAGCGCTATGAGAAAGGGTGTCTCAAGTAAGACCAACACCCCTTCTCCATTGGATCAACGGGAGAGTCAAGGATGGGACATACCAAAGTCTTGGCAGTCCTACCGGCAGAATCTGTTCTGGTCTGAAGTCCCGGCCTCCTCATGCACTCGCTGCAGAACACGCCTGCCGAATGCTGCCTTTGCTGATGAGTATGGGTCCAGTCTGTAATGGTGGATAAATGACACCAGAGATATCCATATCGTCATCTGACAAATCTCTTCCACAGAAGCCTGCATAGCCCAGGCCGCTGTAGTGGCCACACTCCTAGTAGAATTGGCCGTGATCCCTCGGGGCACTGGGACAGTCTGGATCTCATACGCTCTGGCAGCTAACAATCCACCGTGGAAGGCGTCACCCTGTGGCCCAGAGTTGATGCTGAAAGGACCTCGGTCTTTCTGAAAGAAGCAGTCCTGGAGATGTAAATGCGGAGGGCCCTTCTTATATCCAATTTATGCCACTGACATTCCAAAGTATGCTGAGGCCGAGGACAAAAGTCTGGCAAGATCAACTCCTGTGCTCAGTGAAACAAGAAGTTAACCTTTGGCATGAAGGCAGGGTCCACCCACAGGACCACCCTGTTCCTATGAAACACACAGAGATACTTTCTCACTGATAATGCCACCAAATCTGATACCCATCTGGTGGACATGATGGCCACCAGGAAGGCCATCTTACACGAGCAGATATGTAGGCTGGCCTCCCTTAAGGGTTCAAATGGTACCGTGGCAAGGCCTATAACACCTTAGGCAAGTTCCAGGTGGGGTAGCGGTGTAACTTTGGGGTTTCAAATTGAATGTGCCCCTGAGGAAGGCTTGAAGCCTGGGATGGTGAGCAAGGGAACTGAAACCCCTCACCCTCAAAACTGAAGCCAGGGCAGCGACCTGACATTGTAGGGTGTTTGGGGAGAATCGCTAGGCATTCCTGCAAGAATTCCACCAAGGCCAAGATGGGGTCTAAATTGCCCTTAGCACACCAATTACTAAAAAGTTTCTAAGTCGCATTGTAAATGTGGGTGGTAGAAGGCCGCCTGAATCATTCTTATGACCCTAATAGAGAGTTTCTCTTCTTTCAGCAGGTTCTGTTGAACCGCCAAATGGTCAAGTGTAACCACTGGAACTCCAGGAGGATGATGGCTGAGAGACACACTCTCCGTGGGAATTGTCCATTGTCGAGCGATCAACAGGCCAACCAGATCAGTGAACCATGGGCATCTGGGCTACCTTCAAAACCTCCACCTTCTCCACCAACACCTTCCAGATTACAGCCGGGATCAGGGGCAGCGGAGGAGGGGAGGCATACAGTAGACCCCTGGGCCATGGGCAGTGTAGCACGGCTACTCCCTCTGCTCCAGGTACTGGGAACCTTGGGAGGTGAGAGTTTGCTGGAGAAGAACCTGGGAAGGTAAGAGTTTGCTGGAGAGGCGAAGAGATCCAGAATTGGGTTGCTGAACCATTCTGCTAGTTCTGCGAACAGACTGGGATACAGATGCCCTGCTCAACCAGTCTGCCTGCACATTGGATACTCCTGCAATGTGCTCTATCTGTATCAATAACAAGTGTGTCTCTGCCCATCAGCACAATGTCTCTGCTTCTATCATGAGGGACTTCGACCGAGTCTCCCCCTGCTGATTGATGTGGGCCTTTGTAGCCACGTTGTCCATCAGGAGGAGGACATGGTGTCCTGATATCTCCTGCTGGAATGCCCTGAGGGCCAGGCAGGCTGCCCTGAGCTTTAGCCAGTTGATATTGTAGCATAACTCCTGCAGTCATGACTGGCAGTCTTAAGCGGCTCACTGCTGCTATGGTGATATAGAGAGCCTAGCAGCCCCAAGGCCCAGCAACTCCCTCTCCAAAAGTCCCAGAAATGTTTTTTTTTTTTTTTGTAAGTAAAACTACTGGTCTATTTCCAAGTCTCTGGTCGGCAGACCTGTGGAACTAGTTGTGCTGACACCCAGCTTCCCTCCAGCAAGGCCTTGGCAACTACTGAGGTAAAGCTCACTGCTAGTCAAGGCGGGAAATATTAACAGTCGAATCAGCGAGGGTAAGGAGCCCCAGCGGCTTTTAAATTCCACCTATACCCTGCTTAGCCTTCTTGAGATAACTCTTGCTGCTGGTTGAAGCTAGCTGTGAGACCGACTGGGATTGGTCCAGTGGGTTCTCAATACTCTGCCTCTTGTACATTCTCAAGACCGTACAAGATAGGTAGTGGCTGGGACACAAATCCTTGTCCCCCGATAGCCTAGTTCAGCTTTAAAGCCATCTGCGGCTCGAGTTCGACTTCAAGCTGTTTCCTACCTATTTGCTGCCTATGCCCTCCAAATATATAAGAATAACCATGAAATAATCCGATAAAACAAGAACCAACTCTTTCCTAAGTATCCTGAGCTGTGCAAAAGAAATGTCCTAAGAGCTGAGACTGAGTTGAAAGACTGGGGACCATTACCAGGGAGCTGTCTCTTCAGAATTTCAACTTAGTCAACAGAGCTAGTAGACAAGAGTAACAACCCATCCTGGACTCTCCCATCAATCCAATGGAGAATTGCAACAAAAAGACAAAAGCCAATTAACATTAAAATTATTTATAGTTACATTTCATTATGTAATAAGCTAACATATAAAACTTCATCTGGACACCAACTAAATCCAAAATTTACTTAGGAAAAATTAAGTAATGAAAGTGGGAATGGGAAAGAGAAAGGGTAACCATAGCAAATGTTATGAATAAAGTTGGGACAACAAGCATATTAGTTAATATGCTTGCAAAAAAAAAATCCTGCAAAAGTATATTATCAAAATTTCAATGAAATTAACCTTGGAATATGAGTAATTTAAGAAGATTTTTACTCCACGGAATACAAATTATTTCAGTCAGCACATGGGCTATATACATACTTATTAAAATCTTCACTCAATGATGTTTTGGAAATATTGTAATGCTATTTGATTTACATGATCTGTTCATACAGACAATACGACAGCTAACCTGTAAATTGACAGAGAAATAGTTCTATTGAACATCCTCAGCTCTGAGTCTAAGGAATTATCTAAAAGGGATTACTATACTGCTAAAATACTATTATTACCTCAAGTTGCATTAGAAAGCTCTCCTATGATGGAATTCTCAAAAAGCAATTTAGAATTAGAATGTGCTAGCTAGAATTGTCAACCGGGATTCATAGTTAAAAAAAAGGCAGTTAACCATAAGTTTCTCTGCATCAATTTTTCATTTTTTTCTCTAAAAATTATATTCCTAAGTGTTACTGAAATGTGGCGTTGGTTCTTACCTGATACGCTTCTTCTCTGGGCAGGTGGAGACAACGGTCATGCATGAGTTAACTCAGTCAGTAACCAATGGAACTGAGTCTACCAAAGTGATGTTATTGCCTCTGAGGAGCATGCTCCCACTTTTCTTGACAAAGGAGATAAGTAGACTGCTGTGCAGCGAACAATTGCTTTCTGTCCTGTG